ATATATATATATATAAATTAAGTTTGAAAAATTTCGAGAAAAAACATTGAGCTCTTTAAAAAGTCACGCATCGCACCTCGTAATACACAGCTTTCACCACTTCTCCGCTCATGTCCAACTTCTCTATAACTGTTTGACGTTTGGCTAAATTTTCCTTTTGAAGAGCGGCAAATTGTGGAATGCTAAACAATTGCACAAATTCTTGTTGTTGTTTATGCCAGATTATTCCATTCACAGCGTAGCAGTCCCAAATCGCAAGCTGTAAAGTCGCGACCATTAAAACAAATCGTGTAGTCATAATTTACGAACTTCTATGCAATTAAATTAATTCCACGTCGATATTTCTACGTAGGATACAGACAAAAAAGAATATATTAGAATGCAGTTTTCATGAGATACACACATTGCAAAATGCTTTACTTACTATTTTCTGTAATGGATCGATATCGCTTATAATGGAAAAGCGTCACGAAGATTGTCGAAGATTGATATCATAGTCAATTTGATGGAATCAGGCAATATAATCGCATTCATCTAATTTGCTAATAATTTTTATTAGTTCAGTGGCATCTAAATTATAATTAGATTTCTTAATTACTTCGTCTGTCGATAAAAATTATACTGTGTGTGTCTTCAATTTTTAAAATTTTCCAAAGATTACATACATGGATTTGATATTGTGTTAAGGACATACCCTTTTATTATTTCTCCAAGCATTTGGCAAAGTTAGATCTTATAAGAATAAAATGTCGATTTAAAAATGTATAAATTTTGAGTTACAAGCGATTTTTAAGGTTTTGAGGTTTTTAAATATGATCACGAATACACACATACACACACACACACAAAACACGCGCGCGCGCCTCTTCTTACGATGATCTTTGATTTTTGTTGATCAATTGTTGAATAAATTTAAAAAAAACATGAATATATCATTTAATTTGTATAATAAAAATTTGTATCTGTGTAATTGTATGCGTATACACGTGTGTTTGTAACTATATTTGGCCTCAGAATTTAAAAAATCGCGCTATTGTATCTCTCAAAATTCATTTGAAACCAATGCCTCATCATTATAAGATGTAAGATCTATTCTTTTCAGTTAAAGTTCTTGTACGATTCATCTTTCCTCCTTTTCTTTCCACGTTGGAGGGAAGAAAAGGAAAAATGAACCGTGCAAGAAGTTCAGTTAAAAAGGATAGGCCTCTAATTTCGCCATGCTCGACTTTGTCAATCTGAGTATCATTTTATTTTTATTTACTTGATTGAACAAGAATAAAAGATACTCGTAATTGACAGACTGGAGTTTTGGAATGCACGTCAGAGATCTGTGGCCCGACACTATCAAACTCACGTTAATGTGTAGAAAATTTTCGCGATCACATAATGTAATTATTTGTGTATGTATATATATATATATATTTTTTTTTTTTTCTAAAATCGTATTAAAATAATTGTCCTACAAATTTTTCATTTTTTTACAACTGTTTTTCATTTGAGAGCTTTTCAAGAATTTACATAAATAAAACCAATAAGGAAATTAAAATTTTATTAATGATACTCATATTTGTTACAAATAATCATATTTGTTTAATAATTATGTTACATATTCAATTATTACACATTCACAGTAATAATCACATAGTAATATTCGTGATATAAATCACGATAACAATCATATAGTAATATTTGTGATATAAATATAATAGAATTTCAATTGCAAGTTAAATAACTGTTGGCAATTAAATATTTAATAAAATATATTTGCAATAATATAATTAAAAAATAGTTTCACGGTGATCTGTACTTATACACAATTTTTTCGATTATAAAAATAATAAAAGCTATTATCATTCCGCAGCACATTATTAAAATTATAAAAGAAACTTGATCTATCCCAATAGCTTCTTGCTTGGCTAGATTATAATCATAATATCGGTGTTTCTCATTTAACCAACGATATGTTAATGCATTCCACAATCCAACTTCTTTTAATCTGAGTATCCTATGCAGAAAAATTATTTGTTTACATAACTGTTAATATAGTATGCGATTGTATTATACTTGGTGAAAATTTTTCTTAAAATTTTTTTATACAAAGTGCCAAAAGACCGAAATAACGCTTAAAAAGAGATTTCTAAGATCATTTTGAGACGAAAATCCTAATACCAAAATGTCAAGGAAAAATATTTTCTAATATAATACATATCAAAAATTAGAAATAATAATTGTACGCATAATTATTTTTATATCGATATTTATAACAAGAGACAATCATTAGCTTGTATGTGTGTGTGTGTGTGTGTGTGTGTGTGTGTGTGTGTGTGTGTGTGTGTGTGTGTGTGTGTGTTTTTTTTTATATTTCAGAATATATATATATATATATATATATATATATTCTGAAATATTCTAAGATTTCTATAATTTCTCATTTTATAATTTATAAAAATTTTTAAAAATCTAAAAAGAAGAAAATATTAAAGTTTCAAGAGATATTTGTTCAAAAATCTTCATAAATTAACACATGACAAATTTTTTAACGTTTTTTATGACAAACACTTTTATGTGACAAATCTTTATAAAAGATCTTTTCAATATGGCATAATGATTAAAGAATTTGTCACATTATATATAATATTTAAATTTATGGAGATTAATTCTGAACAAAATAATTATATTTATTTTTCAAAGTTATAAGCAAAATTAATAATATGCTATATCCAAGTATAGTATTGTTCTCATAGTATGACATTTAAGAATCAAAATATTATAAGATATAGGAAAATTTATAAATATATGAAAATTTTTTCACCAGAATGCCACTGAAATTTCTTTACCCGAGATCAATAGTTTTTTTGTATTTAAAATTCTTCACAATGCCGGAAGCTACCCATATCTTGAAGTAGGATTTTCCAACTGGGATCATATGACATCCAATTTGACTTCTTGCTTTGTAGTCATCTTCACCTTGGAGTATGGTATATTTCCCTTTACCTTTCATACATGCCAATTCAAACATTTTCTCGACCGTTGGTGCAATGACGAGGCGGTGCGGGCATTCTGCAGTTTTTATTCGTTCAAAAATATCGTCATTGATTATCTATAAATTTTCAAAATAGCTAATATTTATAAAGACATATAAGTGTCATATATAAAAGGTACAAAATCGAGAATCCACTTAATGTAATTCAAACATTAATAAATTATCAATTAATCAAATATTCACAAAATTAAATAATATTAATACCTTAAACGCGATATCTGCAGTAGAACCTTCCAAAGAAATAATTTTATATTCGGTATTTGTCAGTAGAGAGTTCAAATTATCGAATGGCGCTATAATGTTAATTCTTTTTGTTATATACACGTATAACAAAGCTCCAAATGATATGTACAATATAGAACAAAAGAATGCCAGCGATAATTCTATTATCCTTGATCTTCCAACAAGAATATTAGGAATTTGATCTATTGTTAATTATTATTTTAATTACAAATCTTTCATAGTTATATATGATAATTAAATATCATTTTATTTCGATGAGGATTTTTTAATTTTATCAAGCACATTATTTTTATATAGTTTCAAAATAATATTAATTTTCTTTTTTAATAATAATTATAATGCATTTATACAATTTAAAATCTTATGTCTAAATCAAATTAAAATAAAATAGTATAAATTGTATAAATAATAAAATAGTATAAATTATTGTATAAATAATAAATAAATAATATACGTAAAAAAAATGTCACATTAATTAATATCATAATATGTAATATTGTATCTCAGCAAATATAGATATTGTATATGTAACTAACACGTATGTTATATATATAAAACGTACATGTTAGTTGTAATTTTTCACTCATAGATGTAACATTTGTAATATAATGTACATAATATTGTAGTTATGTTATGTCTAGATAGAAGAATATGATTTAATCATATCGTAAAACGCCAAAATTAATTAAAGTTTACGATATCAACAAATAATTATTTGATTTGAGTATAAGAACAATATAATGTAACAGATGTTATATTACAAAATCTCACATCGAGTGAAAAATAACAACTAACATATATGTTACTATACTAGTTACATGTCATACAAGTTATATATTTGCGTTTGTTGGGATGATGTTTATACTTATATGTCTATCTTTTAATTGAGCAATGTTTAGATATAAATATTAGATTAAAGAACAAGAAAAGAATAAACATTCACATCAATCATTCATACTTTGATTGCAGATCATTCCAAAGTTGTAAAAAATATGGTCGCCAAAGGTCGAGCGTTTACAATTTTTGATCCGTAAATGAACAGTTTGTGACAAAAAACTGCATGCACTTATTAATAAATGCATAACTAATACAAAGCACCATATTTTCCAGGAAAATACTTCTGCCACCCATGTGCTGTCATGTATTTCCTCATGTTGAATATACAATCGCTGGCTGTAAAATTATTATAAAATTATTATAGCAAAATAATCTGGAACTTGTATAAATAAATTTATTATTGTATATGCACATATAATTATACGTCTTTTTTTCAAAAGTTACATTGTTGAAATTTTACTTAACAAGAGTGACAATTTTCATTCTTCAAAAATGTTATATTCTTATTCTATTAAAATGAAATTTCACTCCAAGAAATTTGAAGAGTTCTTTCTTTATTTAATGCTTTAGAAGATATATTATCAGAACACTTAAAATAAAAGTATTTATAATTTATAATGAAACGGAGCACTTAAACATACCTACTCATCCATAAAGGGATTGTAAAATCAGTAGCTACAAATCGATTATCATGCATTTCTTTATTTAATGCTTTAGAAGATATATTATCAGAACACTTAAAATAAAAGTATTTATAATTTATAATGAAACGGAGCACTTAAACATACCTACTCATCCATAAAGGGATTGTAAAATCAGTAGCTACAAGTCGATTATCATGCATTTCAGTTTTGGGTATCGCGATAGTTTCATTGCGCGTAAGTATACCTAATAACCCTGTTGTATAAACGGTTTGGTTTTTATTCAGTACACCTGCGCTAATTTCGTTTGATCTTATTGCCTGTAATCTAATATGCAAGATTTTTTAATTATAATTGTTTACCGTTAGTTTCTTTAGCGATTAATCTCACAGTAGATTGTAATTTGATTAAATTACAGTTCAATCTTACGTAAAATTCAATTTTTCAGAAAGAAGAGTCCATAAATCGCCGCAGAGTCCTCTAACTTTCGTATCATTATCGTAAAATTCAAAAAAATGCGATTCCTAAAATATATAATTAGAGAAATTATCATCCAGTTTTTGCAATCAATTGATATTTCTTAATTTTTAATTATTTAATAAATTATATAACATTGTTTTAAATTGTAAGAATAGTAAATAATTTAGTTATTTATAATCTTTTCTCAAAATATAGAAATTTTTTTTATGTTAAATACGTAGTTATATCACATTAAAAATATGATATTTTTCTTATTTATCTTTACTACTATTTTTCTTATTACTTTACTATGATTTACTACTATGTAATATATTAATTACTTAATTTTATTTTCTTAAAAATTTCTGTTAAATTAAAACTATATAAAAATGTTGAAAAATTTAAATATTTTCAATAGATAATTTCGAATATATAAACTTTTCTAATATACAGATATCCAGATAGGAACTATTTAATTAATAATTATCGAATAATTAATTTTAATTTTTTAAGAAATATCATGGAGAATGTACAAGAACTTAGCATTTGCATTTTATGAAAGTAATTACCTGGAAGGATGTTACAGTCAAATTCTGTAATTGGAAATTGTGGATTTCCAATGCTCGACTTTGTCTAAGATGTTCTTGTTGTATCATGGTAAACATCGGAACGCTGGAAATTGGAACAAAAGTTTTCTGTGTCTTGCTCCAGATTACGCCGTTCATCGTTTTAGACAGATAGCAATGCTCAATGTAACCGGGAATAATTCTGGTCTGATAAAAATACTTCGTAATATGCTTTGACTTATAACGATATGTAATTTTGTTGCGCAGTATAATTACGGAAATTGTGATTATCATATCCTCAATCATATTTGTACACAATAATGAAAAATATAACTGAATGATAGAATGAGATTAGTAGTGCCGTTGGAGAAAATAGAAATCGGAGAATAAGTCGAATGTAAGGGGAGAATAATAGAAGCGGAAACTAAGTTTCTGTTAGTCTCCCCTTACATTTCAATTTTTATTTTCAGCAGAGGTTTTATGTGCTACTTTAGATAATATCTTTTCCTAAAATTCTTTTTTACACGAGTCAATTTCATTATATCTATAACTTTTTTATTATAGCTAAGTGAAAACGGATATTAATATTGCATTAATTAATCCATCAATTATTCATTAATAATTTATGCTTTGACTAAAACTTCTTATTTAACAATGAAGACAAATAATTCTTTTATAAACTTACAGATTTATATATATATATAGAAATATGCAATGTATTGCATATTTCTATATACATAAATATATAAATAAATATTTCTTTGTAATAATTTTAACGTAGAGATTTCCTGCGATATACTTATACTTATGTTATTTATTCATGATTAAATCGATTTTAGTCGCTATCAAGATTTACAGAATAAATATGCCTTTTTTCCAACTAAACTGCTCGGTGCCTTAATGACATGTCGATTTGTTATCATACAAAGCTAACACGAAAACTGATATGATCGAGGTCATCGATGTACGTCATCAATTCACTATGAATAAAACATGTAAATTAAAAATTGTAGTTACATGTTACGGATATTATAACATCTACGGCAGATTGTAAATAAAAAGATAATTTATAGTTAATATGTATTGTTACTTAATATTTAAATCAGATGGAATAAATTAGATCACTATTGTATAACCATAACATGAAGCTTTTCGGAATGAAAAAAATTCAAATTATCATAATTTTAAAGAACGCATGCAATATACATGTAGACAGTTAAATGTTGATTATATTATTACGAAATGTGATTTACGGATTACAAATAATGCATTCTAGCCTATATTAATATTTAAATATAAATGTTCAAATTGGTAAAAACACTGAATAAGTTATAAATAAAAGCAAAAAAGACCATTTTTAAAGATTTATTAATTGATTTTTATGAGTTAATTAGAATGATTTATCATGCGAAATTTCTAAATATGCAATGACAATTTTTTTGCAAATTATATAGAAAATCTTAATTGTGGTTCCTATTAATATATTTTTTATATGAAAAAGGGAATGAGATCAAGCGTAATGTACGAAAAACATGAATTGTATATTTATATTTGACTGAATATATAAAGGTCTTAAATGTGTATAATCCTTCGCTGAAGTTTACATAAATTTAACTTAAACCTAATGTTTCTGTGACAAATCTTCGATACGGTCGGGATTATAGTCGATATAAATTTCGATTCGGAGATTTGTCAATTCTAAAAGTCTTATTTAACTCAATAGCACTTTCGTGCACTGTCCAATCATTATCCATCCGATTAACGGACGTGGGAGTAAAGACGATTGGATGACGTCTTAAGTCCAGTCTTTCTTCTTTTTTCTCCATCAAACGAAACACGCTCTTCATATTTCTTTCATTAATACAAAATTATAAAAAGTATAATACAATCTGCTCCTTTAATTCTACGTTTCCATTCTCTATCGTTCTGTGCTAATATTCTATCCCAGCTTAAAGTGGGCATTAATTTTGCAAAGTTCATCATC